GGATGCTGCTACACCCCTGGTGGAGTGAGCTCTCACTCCAGATGGGACTGGGAGACCCCTGCTGCTGTACGCTAAAGAGATAGCATTTAAGCTAAGTTTAAGAGCCTTCCAACAAACAAAGCTAACTAGCAACAGCTAACTAGCTAGGTTGGAAGAGGTGGGGGGTTCTAGCGAGGTGAAGAGCAATAAAACTAAGGAGTGATTGTGATGGCGACAGTAAATATATGTGCAGGCGGAGCCTGACATCTGTCGTCATCACGTCACCTGCCTAAAGGCGTGATTAGAGGTGGCTTCAGCCAGGACACGCAGGGGCATGGTTTCCCATACATGATGTGTTGTACCGAGTGAATTGACTGAAAGGGAACATCAGATTCTTCTCTATGGTCTGTTAGACATTTTAGCAATGCTCTGTTCACATGCAGACATTCCCCTTTGACATCACTTCCTGTTACTCCACATGCAAATATCTCAACTGTTCATCTCAGTGGCATGAAACCTTTTTACAATATAGTATCAGTGTTACCCTTCCAAAAACACATTCCTTTTTATTACAAAATATGGATGTCACAGGCACTTTAAGGGCTAAGGATGTTTTTTTACCGTGTTAAAAAGAAAGAAGCAACATAAACTGACCTTTGACCCTGCCGGCACACCAGGCTTCCTTTCTGCTTCAGAACAAAAGTCTGGTTCTGGTTCGACATCAGTGCTTGAATTCATTTCCTGAAAAACAAACAAACAAATGGAAAATAGACAACTTGAAGCAGCTTTGGGAGAACATCAGTGGCGTGTGAACGTACAGATGCAGCGTCCTTCGCTCCGTCGGTGGCAACTTCTTCTTTGTGGAAGGACATGCGGGTGGACTGGGACTGGGAGCAGTACGCGCTGTCCTGGGAGGGGGGTGAGTCAGAGAGGTCGCCCTCCAGATTTCTAACAGGAGAGGAGGACCGCGTGGGTGCCGAGCCTTCAAAGAGGCCGTGGACCTTCTGAGACGAGCCACTCTCCTTCTTATACTGAAACCTCTGCAGGGTGCCGAGGCCTGAGGCGGACGTGCTCCACGAGCGTTCGCTTGAGGCGGTGCTGCCTGACCACTGGAACAGCTTGAGACCCCGGCTGGCTGAGCAGGAGGGCGAGCTGCTGGAGGAGAGAGGCGGGCTAGGGGTAACCACAGATGGGGCATCAAGACCGTCATGGTCAGGAGTCTGAACACCGAGGGGGGACGTGTCCTCAGAAGGGTCAGTGTCCATAGGCTCMGCCCCCTGGTTGGACTCCCCTGTGYTCAGGCTSGTTTCTGAGCCAGAGCTGCTGAAGAATCTGARTGTGAGAACAAACACCAAGACGTTAGAACACGAGTTTAACGCGGGACGGTGGTGCTGCGCTGGCGCRGCGATGACATCACCTGCTGCGGGTGGGCCGACCCGCCTCCTCCTCCGCCTCCTGGTTCCGCCTCTGCAGCAGCGTGGCGAAGCGGTTGCGTGGTCGGGGCTGAGGGCTGAACGGAGACTTGTCTGGCTGCTGTTCTGGCTTGSATCGCTTCTGTTCGGGAGAGGAATACTGYTGGAGGACTTCCTGGTCCGACAAATAWGAGTCTGCAAAATAAATAAGWTCAGCTGAACAACAAGCTYGAATCATTTCCCCAAAATGTATTGAAAGGGATCCATGATTAGTTGTAACATTAGACTTTATTTAATAAAAATATATTTTAATTGTAAAGTAAAGACTGTAAAAATACTGTAGGATGTTTAGTTTTATAAATTTTTAAAAATATATTTTAACACGAACAGAGCCATTTTATTTACACACAAAGCATTCTGGGTAAATGATGACATGGATAGGTCCTCGGTGTGAGTGAGCTATATCCACCCTGAAGGTTAATCTTGGACAATATTTGACGATTGACTCTTTTAAATGAAATCAGGGAGCGTTGACAGAGAGGAGAAGGTAGAAATGACTCAGCCTGGAACTGAAGATATAGATGCGAGGACAACAGAGCTGCTTCATGGAAGAAGAACCTCAGCTTAGCCTGTTAGCCTTTGTGCTAGCACCAACACTATTTTGCCTTATATGTATTAGCTTGGTGTTAGCATGACAAACAAGCTAAACTGAGGTCCTCCATCCATATTTTCAGTTACAGCTGAGTCATTTTTGCGTTCCCCTCTCTGTCATGTGGATGGAGGACCTCAGTAGCGCTGAGCTAATACATATATATGGTGATAGCGTCGGGGCTAACGCTAAAGCTAACAGGCTAATCTGAGGTTCTTCTTCCATGAAGCAGCTCTGTTGTCCTCCATCCACATTTTCAGTTACAGGCTGAGTCATTTCTACCTTCTCCTCTCTGTCAACGCTCYCTGGTTTCATTTAAGAGACAATCGTCAAATATTGTCCAAGATTAACCTTCAGGGTGGATACAGCTCGCTAGCAGCCTCGCACCAAGGACCTATCCATGTCACCATTTACCCAGAATGCTTTGTGTGTAAATAAAATGGCTCCGTTCATGTAATATATATTTTTTAACTTTTAGTTTAAAAACTATAAAAACTAAACAGCCTACAGTATTTTTACTGTCCTTAGTTTACAGTTAAAATAAATGTTTATCAAATGAAGTCTAATGTTACAACTAATCGAGGATCCCTTTAAAGGATAAAAAAGTGGATTTTGGATGATATGTCTCCTTTAAGTTATAAGAAACTTTACTTAAATAATGATATTTTCTTGTTTGCATTTTGTCTGGCCCTTTGTTCCACCTGGAGCTTGTTACAACATCGTGCAAGTTTTTAATGGGTGTGTTCAGTATTGTCTAAACTAACCTGATGAGAATCCTGTTTGGATYGAAAGAGTCAAATAAATCAGTCGTGTTCGCGTTTTACTTCACTCACCCACACTTTTTTTTAAACAAAACAATATTTCTCAGACATTATCAATTGTCACCGACCTGATGAACTTGCCAGTCTGTTAGCAAAATATCTCATGAATCCCTGAATGGATTTTAATGAAACTCTCAGACATAAATAAGATGTGTGACTTCAACCAACACAAAATCGATGCAACTCTGTCAATGTTACACATATTGAGCTGATATCTGGTGACAGATACTCCAAGCATCAACAGATTATGCAACACTTCGCACTACAATCTGACATATTCAAGGACTGAAACAAACAGCTGTAACTCTTGAAACACGGGCATGAAAAGTGACAGGAATGTTTAATCACAGTTCAAGAGAACTGAAAGTGTATGCAGGCCTGTCACTATAACAAACTTTACTGGACAATAAACTGTCTGAGAAAATATTGTGATAAACGATGATATTGTTGGAGACCAGTTTAAACTAATATAATGATATAACCCCCCTGTTTATGGAAGTTTACATTAAAATTTACATAGTGTAAAATGAAAAAACAACTGTCGGCAACCCCAAGGGTTGCCAGCTGTATGAAGGCATCAGAAAACTGAAGACGCTCCTCTGGCTAAATGCCTGTTTATGGGCTTTCACGCTACAGAGGTTAGGAGACTGTCTGGCAAATACCTGACACCACAGTTCACGCCTCTCTACGCTAAGGAGTAAAAAAGAGGGAGACACGATGAAAACAAAGAAGCAGGCAAATAAAAATTATTGTCTTCATTTTAATTGATCTTCCTCAGTTCAATTTATCATATGATTAATTAATTTATTGTTTATTGTGACAGGCCTAAGTGTGTGAGTATTTTTTTTTTATTTATCATAACGACGATCATGATAGAAATATTCCAATGAAGAAGTCATGTCTCACATCGGTGTTCAGGGGTCTGGTTTACAAAGCAGCCCAGAAAACTGGAAGCTCACCTTCTCTGGGCCGTTTCACCTGCTGCTCCCTGGAGGGAAGCCTCAGTCTGCCCAAGCTGACGACCCTCTCCTTCCCCCTGGTGGAGGGAGGCCGGTCTGGAGAGGCAGCAGGGCGGGGAGTGGAGCCAGCGGAGGTGGGTGTGAAACCCCTGCTCCAGATGCTGGGTCCAGCTGCGGCCGCAGAGTCGTTCCAGCTGTTACTGCGGGCTTTACACCTCTGGAAACACATTTACTCTTCACTCTCACGCTTTTATTCCTGCTGACTGTGACGGCGGCTTGTCTTGTCATACCTGGACGGTGGGTTGGTCTGGATTGAAGTCGTCGATCCTCTCCAAGGTGTTGATGTCAAGGTTTCCCAGGGCCATTTCCAAACCTTTGTCCTCTTCTAGATGTCTGAATTCGCTGCCATCAAGGACCAAATTACGTACATGCAACAGAGATGAAGCTACAGTTTAGCCTGCGTACATCGCTGCTGAAAGTGATGTGATATGGAACATGAGGATACAGTCCAGCGTAGCTGAGGGTGGCAGGATCCATGTTCTCGGGGTATGGGTTTAACGGAACAACTTTCCTCCTGACCGGATCAAACACCAGCTGGTACAGGAAGGTGTTGTTGGCTTTGACGAATCCCTCCACGTACGGATCGGGGACGACCAGATTCATTTTCAGGTACTGGCCCATCTTCCTGATCACCTGACGGAACGAGCAGAACTCAGTAAACAGCCTGCCACAGAGGCCGTGTGAGATTTACACACTGGTGTGAAATGGGTCAGAGGTCATTTGGCTTTTATTTGATATAGCAGTAAAACCCTAATTTACAGGTGAAGACTCCAGATCCTACAGCATCAACTCTTCTTAATGTGATCATTTGAAGCTATTTGTTTTGATAGTAATCCATTTGCACAAGACTATTTTTAATTTATTACATGTCTCGTCATATTAATCATTAGGAAATAACTGGTAATAATTATAAGAATGACTAAACCCCCTAAACAAATAATAAGAAGTCAAAGAGTTTGTTAAAAAACGAAAAATAGGTACGGCAGACAACACACTTTTCCTTGAACTACACTGCCCTCTGGTGGCTGGTGGAGCAACAACCTCATTTATATTTTGTACATCTTTTATACTAATTTTGAACTTCTACAACAATTTATGTTTAAAAAAATTACAAAGTTAAATTTACTGGGAGAGTATGATGCTATGTAGTGTTTAGTGAAGATATCATAGAATTCATGATCTTAATTTTGATTTGATCATATTTTCTCAAATATGGAGAGTGTTCAAGTTTAAGTTGTTTAAATTGTTTGAATCGTTCAGTAAGTGATTTACTTTGTTTTTTTTTAATGGATTTGTTGTTGTTTTTGTTATTTAAATAAAATGAATAAATAAGTAAATTAATTAAAATATTCTCACATAAAAAACTGACCGATGACTGTAAAAAAAAGGAAGTATACCTCCTTTATACAAAGATTTTAGTAATTTTTTGAAAACGAGTTCTATGGAAAAGTAAACAATATCTTACCTGTTGCAGATGTGTCTTTAAGACGATCTCACTTTGGAGACATAGTGTTCAATTCTTACAGAGCTGACGGGCTAATGGCTAGTCAACTGGTTACTGTATTTACATAGAACAGCGTGGTTATTTGAAAGCATAAATAGCAGCAGCAGCTAGCTGTAGCATAAATACTTGTGAAATTTTGGAGACTGAAGTTCTTTTTAAAGACAGCAGCAGTCCATACYGGTCTCCTGCTTAGACTGGCTGACACTTCATCCTCCAGACAAAATACTGTTACACTAGTAGATATTAAACTGCATCCTGTAATGTTTCCACAGATATGTTTGCCAGACAAGTGGAGATTTTAATCTGAACACTGTTGACAGTCTGCTTCCCATAGATACCTCTTTAATATTTAGATCAAAACAAGACCACATCTAGTGTCTAACACTTCACAGGAACTACTGCACTCACCTTAAGGATGTCGGGGTCTTTGGCCAGCCTCAGCAGCTTGCAGGCCTTCCCCAGTCCGATGCCATGCAGGGAGGGCAGATAGTCGCAGCCGGCCAGGATGCACATGTAGCGAAACTTCTCCTCTGTGAAAACGTTGCCCAGGGAGCGACAGCGGCCCAGGTTACTCTGGTCTACCTCCAGCCCGTTACCCTGCTTGTCCATTTTTAGAATCACCTAGAAAAGAGTAGGAGAAACCTTTATGCTCTTGTTTTCTCCACAGTCCTTCTTAGCTTTAAAAGAAAAAAAAAACTTTTAAATCCCTCTAGGATGATATACAACCAAATGAGCTACTCTTCAAAWAATTTTTTTTTAATTTATGGGCATATGTCCATCAATATAGCCATCTTCTACTGCTTCTTTGTGCTTATGGTCACAGATAATATTCTCATGCAATTTTCTATTTTTAGCGCTTGAGTGATCTGGATTAGACTGTTTCATTTATACGGTACCGTTTTGCAGCCAAACGCCAGCAGGTCCGAGTCCTCTGTGATGACGGCCTGAGCCAAACCAGATTTAGTCAGGTAAGCCAACTGAGCATCAGCTTCATACGGAGCCACCACACAGTCCACTCCTCTGTTCCTCGCAGCCTGATTCAAAGAAAAACACAGATAATTCTCATTACAGAGACATTCTCATAGCTGCAGGTAAACACAACACGTCTCAGTCTTTCATACAAAACATCACAGCATTTTTCTCCCACATTTGGACTCGTGTAAAAGAAACGGCTCATAAATGCGTTTGCTTCGATTTTTCAGATAAGGATTCTTCAACTTCTTAATTATGGAGTTCCTCAGGGCTCCTTATCAGACCCCATTCTTTTTTTAAATATATCGATATATGCGTTTCTGTTGAGGTTTATCTGCAGAAAGCAAAACCTCACCATTCTTTGATAATTTTTTTTAACTCTTTTTGGTTCAAGTCTTTGTAAAAAGTCTCAGAGATGTTGTTATCCAGGTCAGGTTAAAGCCARCATTTCTTTAGATTATTTTGTGACGATTCTAGTTTTAATTGAACCTTGTTTGGATTATTCATATTTTTCATGTCTATTCTAGACTATCATTAAGGCACCTGCGAGTGGTTCAAAACACAACAGCTTCACTTGTGACAGGAAATGAGGTGTGTAAACTTATTATACCTGTATCAGCCTCCACTACACAAACTTCCTGTTCATTTCAGGATCCAATTTCTATTTTTTACTGCTTGTTTTTAATATTAATAATGTTTGAGCACCACATTTCCTTTCTGTACTTTTAAACCTTTATCCTACACTCTGAGGACCGATCTCTATAAACTAAATGCTTTTAGTGTCCTGATGCATCTCAGTAATCCAGGTAGAAAATCAAAAAGAAAAAAATTGTATAGGTCCTCTGGACGGGTTCTTCTTCTAATGAAACGTTTCGTCTCTTCTCCAAGAGACTTCTTCAGTCTGAGAGTTTTAAATGCTTTTAGATGTTTTTCAGATCTAGACTAAAAATCTAGCGTTCCCTACTCTGTGCGCCAGCTTTCCTTTGAAAAGTGGAGCTGCTCTGACTGTTTATGATTCAGTTGTTAACTGTTTGTTCTATGACTTTGTATTTTTGGTGTTCTTATAATGTAAAGAACTTCGAATTGCCTTGTTGCTAAAATATGCTATACAAATAAACTTGATTGATTGACTGATTGACTTATTTTAATTTACTTATTTTATTCTTATTGTCATTGAATCGTTCAGATTTTTGTACAAGCACAATCAATCTATTTACTGGTTTGCAAATGTGGTTTTATTTAAGTTCATTTTCATTTTATTATTACTGATTTATTGATGTTATCAAAATAAAAGCATTTTGGTCAAATTTTGTTGTTTTTAATACACAATAGCAATGTTATGTTTTGGTTAAAACACAAAATGTTTTTGTTGATATAGGATGTACGTGTGTCAGCTTTTTATAAAACAACTGAAAAAAACTCAACAACTCATATATTGTCAATACTATAATATTGTCTTTTCTTTCTTCACACCGACTGAATGTTATCCAAGCCGGAGCGCAGACTGCTGTTGCTCCTCACCTTAATCAGGTTGTGAGCCATGGCGGGGGTGATGTTCACACAGCGGGTGAAACAGTCTCGGGCCTCGGACAGTTTACCTTCACGCAGCAGCTGTCGGCCTTTCTGAAGATTGGCTTCTCTGCGACTGAGCACACAAGCAGCAGCATTTATCAGGAAACATTTGCACAAAAAGGATTTATAGGGAGCACTTTATTTACATACTTGAATTAGATGAGAGCAGTGTTGACGTGGCAGCACAGAGAGAAATCACAACTACAGCTCTGCTTCTTTGCCAAGAATAACAATAAAAAAAATAAAGAGTTCTGGATGTTGTCTCTTTGTTACTGTTCAGGTATGTGTTTGTCAAGTGGAAATCTGCTGGTTGGTACATTCCTTTCTGCACGGTCACACGTAACAATGTTGCTCAGTTGCTTTTGCGGAACGCAGAGCTTTGAATAAACTAGTTATTGTCTCAGTTTGAAGAGGCATGAAAAACCACATAATTATTGTGGTTGACCCATTTCATCACTTCACCTCTGACCAGTGTGTTAGCCAGAAACTGAAAAAAAAAGTGTGCTCACACTCATGCTACTGGGGCCTGGGGTCATCCTCTCTGGAAAGTGTTTGAATCTGTGTTAAACTGTGATTTTGGGGTCCAATTAAAGGGATTCTTTAAAGTAAATAACCTGAGAAAAATAAGCTTAATTGATTTTTTTAAACACGTAGCAACTAGTCATAATGTTCTAACAATATGAAATCTTAAGTAAATATGTTGCCCTTAAAATAAACAATAAATTTCTGAATGAAACTTTACCAGCTGGAAGTCAAGTACCATAACAGTTTAGTTACATACAGCCATTTGCTGCTAACTCTCAGAGATTGCTGCAAATGTTTGTTTCCAAAACCTATTTATATGCTAAAGAAGAAAGCTATACAAATTATAAATGCATTAGATTATTATTATCCAACTAACAACATATTTCTCACATTGCATACTTTAAAATTTTATGATTTAGTAGAGCTTAGAACAGCACTGACAATGTACAAAGCTTATACTAAATCCTTCCACATTGTATACAGAAG